TCTGACAAAGTAAATTGTCTTTGGATTGGACAGGATAGAATAAAAATGGCTGCTGGAGAGTTGATACCTAAGGTAAGTAGCAAAATAATAACAGAGTATCTGGTCACCCTTGATGAGTTAAAGTCACTTGGCCCAAATGTATTACATCCTGGGGTAATGAAAGAACTGTTGGGGATGACTGAAATGTGTCAATGATCTGTGTGTCAGTGAAAGACCCTGGAGAAAAGGAAGGTCATAATGGACTGAACGAGGGGAAATATTAACCTGATTTTCAAAAGAAGAGAAAGAAAGGTCCTGCAAACCATAGACCAGCAAGCTTGATTTTGATTGCTGGCAAAATTCTGGAATGTATTATTAATTGGATGGTTAGTGAACATCTAGAATCAAAAGTAATGCAAAGAGTCAGTAGGGCCACATCAAGAATGGGTCATGCTACCTCACACCCTGTGTGTGCAGGCAAAATTGGCAACAATCAATGTTGGAGGGATCATGGAAAGTTAGACACACCAATACATTGTTGGTGAATCTGTGAAATGCTACAACCATTTTGGAAAGCAATTTGTAATTATTCAAATAAAGGAACTAAAATGTCTATATTATTTGAACCAGAGACTCCATACCAGCTTATACACCAAGGAAGCCATCAATAAGAAAAAAAAATATCTTCATACTACTCCAAAAAAAATTATAGCAGCACTTTTTGTGATAGCTAAAAATTAGAAATAATGTCGATGCTCGTCATTGGGGAGGCATGGTTAAACAAATTGTGGTACACGAATGTAATAGGATATTATTAAGCTGTAAGAAATAATGTGTGATGGATACAGAAAAACATGGAAAGATCTATATGAACTGATGAAGAGTGGAGTAAGCAGAACCAAGAAAACAATGTACACAGTAACTACATTATAAATGGAAACAACAATGATGCACCAAAAAGTCAAAGGTGAATTTAACAAAATTATAAAGATCAAATAAGGCTTGAATGAAGATATATGAGAAGACACTCCTAATCTAGCCCTTTGTGGAGTGGGAAGTCCACAGATTTTAAACATTGAAAATGTTTTGGGGCTTTAAAAAACTTTTTTTAAAAAAAAGTAAGTTTTACCAAATTAACTTCATTTCTTTTTCTGATAGTCAAATCAAATCAAAAAACATTTGTTAAGCACCTACTGGACGCTATGATTAAAACTGGGGATTCAAAGAAAGGCAATAAATAGTCCCTGCCTTCAAAGAGCTCCCAGTCTAACGGGGAGGTCAACATGCAGATGACTATGTACAAACAAGCTGTGGACAGGATAATTGAGGAGTAGTCCCAGAGGGAAGCCACTAAGCTTAAGGAGGACTGGGAAAGGCTTCTTACAGAAGAAAGTCAGACTTTAGCTAAGACTGGCAGAAAACTAGGAAAACTAGGAGACAGATGAGGCAGGAGAGCATTCCAGGCATGGAGGACAACATGTTAGAGGAATATGAAGGAGGTTGGTAGCTTGAGATCCAAGAATATGTGCATTGATTGAAGGAGTGGGATAGGTGTTTTGCCTGAAGAAGAGAGGACTCAGAACAGACGTTAACAGCTGTCTTCAAGTACTTTGAAGGGTGATATTAGACGTGGTCTACTTGGTGACAAAAAAAAAATAGGAGCCACATGTTCAAGTTGCAAAGAGGCAAAGTTAGGCTTAATATCAGGAAAATTTTGCTAACAATTAGAGCTCTTCAAGGGCTACCTCTGAAGGTAACTCTCAGTGAAAATCTTCAAAGAAAGGGTGGATGATCAAATGGATAGCCAAATATGTCAGTGATCTTATCTAAACTTTCTTTCAGCAAAGCACCAGCCTGTCCCACACTGAGCCCTAACACTATTAATTGTCTCCTGAACTGTGTGTTGGGTCCGAGAGTATGGAGAGCCCCTGTGACTCATCTCCCATGGTGCACAGCTTGGAATTTATATTACTTTTTCAGGACCAGAGACCTCATGATAATGGATGGAGCACTGTGAGGAGTTCTTCATCTTAGGAAAATTCCAGGTAATTGTGTTAATGTTATGTCTCTGATTATCCAGTAGGTAAAACAGAGTTTATCTGCAACATCCCACTTGGAAACAAGGCTATTCCCCACTCAGCGAGCCCCATAAACCATCAGCTATTACTCATCAGTCTTTGCCAGCTCGTATAAGATGAGCCTGATGTTTTCCTTGCCAGGGGAACATTGTATTCCAGCTTCATTCTGTCCTGAGAGCTGCCTCTGAAAGGGTGAGAAAAACCCCAACTTCCAAGCCGATCTCCTCCAGCCCAAGGAAAAACCAGACAGCTTTTCTTGACATTGTCTAACAAGAGCTAGGATGGAGAAGGCAATGCAGTGCTACAGAGAGATAAGCCGATGGGGAGGCAGAGACCCAAGATCAGATTCATCAAACATTGATTAAGGACTGACTGTTTGCAGGGACTAAAGCATAGACAGAGGAAGCGAGACTTGAACTTAGGCCTTTTGACTTCAGAGTCAAGGGTCTTTCCATTGTACTACTCTTCAGAAACTCATGAGATGCAAATATAGAGAACTAGAATACATCACAACATAGAAGTACGTTAGAGAAGTTAAGTAAAGTTCTGGGTGAGATGTGAAGAGGGGTAATTACTAGAGAAAGGGATCAGGGAAGGCTTCTTGAAGAGGATATTTGATCTGGGTTCGAATCCTGGCTCTGCCACTTACCACTTGTGTGAACTTGGTCAACACTAAAATTCTCTAGTATCTAATTTTGGTGTGGGTGGCCCTGGGTTCTCAAAGTCTGCTTCTAGATTAGCATGATCTCTGGCCAGGTCTAGAAGCTGGAGAAGCCTCAACTGTGAGGCAGTGATGACCACAGATTTAGAGCTGGATGGGATCTTAGAGACCATTGAGGCTAAGGCTTCCACTTTAGGAAACTGAACTTGAGAAAGAATAACTTTCCCAGGGTCACACAGTCTAAGGCAGGATTAGATCTTATGTCCCCTTGACCTCAAATCTAGGGCCCTAAATAGAAGTCCATTGCCTAGTTAAGTTTAAGGCAAACCCCTCTACATGAATAGCTGATCCCTTCCTATCCTATCTTCTCCAACGTCTTCTGCCCCTTCTTTCTATCATCCCTACTTTCTCACTTATCTTCAATCTCTTCCCGTCTCCTTGCTGCTTCCCTACTGCCTATAGGCATGCCCATGTCTCCCCCACCTTCAAAAAGCCCTCACTTGATCCATCCATTCCCCTCTAGCTATCATCCCATATCTCCCCTCCCTTTTTCGGCTAAACTCTTTCTAAAGGTCATCTACAATGGTTGCCTCCACTTCCCTTTTCTCACTCTCTTCTTTACTTTCTACAATGTAGCTTCTTACCTCATCATTCCACCAGAACTGCTCTTTCCAAAGATTTTTTAATGGCCAAATCTTGGGGGGGTTTGCCTCAAAACTTCAGCCTCCTTGACCTCTCTGCAGTGTCTGACACGTCAGGTACTCTCTTCTCTCTTGGGTTTCTGTGACGCTGCTCTCACCTAGTTCCCTTTACTGATTATCTAACCTCTCCTTTTCTGTTTCCTTTGCTGAATCTTGGTCCATGTCACACTCACTAAATGTCCTGGGCCCTCTTTTCTTTTCCCTCTATATTATTTCATTTGGGGATCTCATCAGCTCCCATGGATCCAATTACCATGGCTATGTAGATTCACCAGTCCTTTTATCCAGCCCTAACTTTTCTCCTAACTTTCAGTTTCCATCTCCAATTGCCTATTGGACAACTGGATGCCCCATAAACATCTTAAACACAGTATGTCCAAACAAATATTTCCCTTCAAACCTTTCCTTCTTCCTAATTTCCCTATTACTGTCAAGGGTACCATCATCCTCCTAATCACTCAGGTTCACAACCTAGGTGAGATCCTTGCCCCTGCACTGTCTTTCTCACCTCCCCTACATGCATTATGTTGCCAAGTTCTGTCGATTTTTACCTTCCTAAGTTCACTAGCATATGTTCCCTCCTCTCTTCTGACACTGCCACCAAAACTGTGCAAACCTTTGTCACCTCATACCTGGACTATTCAATAGCCTGGTGGGTGGTTTCCCTGCCAGATCCTTTCCCCGTTACTCTGCATCCTCAACTCAGTTGTCAAATTCATCTTCCTAAATCCAACAAAGGTCTGACCAGACATCCTTAATTCAATCAACTCCAAAGGTTTCCTATCATTAAATATGAAATCCTCTTTGGGGTTCGGAGCCCTTCACAGCCTGCACCTCCCTAAACCCCTTCCCGCTTTCCAGTCTTCTTACACATTAGTCACTCCAATTTATTCTGCCAATGACACTGACTTTACTGCTGTTCCTTGAAGGAGAAAACCCCTCAGCTCCCAGGCATCTTCATTGTCCCTGGCTTGCACAGAATGCCTTTCCTCTTGCTCTCCCTGGCTTACTTAGTCTCAGCTAAAGTTCCACTTTCTGTAAAAGTAGGTCCTTAGTCCTCCTTAATCTTTACCACCTTCCTCTGATGACTATCTCCAACTTATCATGTGTCTATGTTGTTTATACATAGTTTTTTGCAGGTTGTGGCCCACATTAGACTCCTTGTGAGTAAGCTCGAGAGCAGGGATTTTCTTTTATTTCTCAGGGGTGGGGGGCTTTCTTTGTTTCCACAGCACTTAGCACGGTGCCTGGCACATAGTAGGTATTTATAAATGTTTCTTCACTGTTGACTATTGGCATGCACACAGGCACTCGTGCAGGCTGGCACACAGCACAGGGCATTCTTGCCATGCATACCACCTTGTCTCCTTCCCTCTCCTCCACCCAGGGGCACACACCTTGCCTTCCCACGCACATGTGCTTGCACAAAGACCGGAGGGATGCTCCCTCCCAGCCCCCAGCCCCCAGCACTCCCCCTGGACAGCCCCACTGCGGCGCCTCCCCCTCTCCCCCACCACCAGCCCCCGCCCCGCCTCCTCGCCCCCAGCGGGAGCCGCCTTTGCCCAAAAGGGGCCGGGGAGACTCAGCAAACTCCTGACGTCCTGCTCCGGCTCCGTTTCGGTTCCCGGAGTGGCCTCAGAGACAGACGGGACTGACACACGGCCGGCAGGGGACTGAAGCACACCGGACCGGCAGGGGAGAGGGACCGCAAGGGGCGTTGGGGTCTCAGCGGACTCCTTGCAGCTCTTCCAGCGAGTGAGGGAGTGAGTGAGTGGGCAAGCATCTATCGGTCCGTTATCCCTTAGCAGGATTTGGTCCCGGGGCTCCCCCGCCTGGCATGGGGAGGCAGTGGAGACGGGGGCTGGGTAGACACGGGGGACTCCTGCCAGGGCTTTGGGGTCAAGACGTCCCCTGTCAGAAGAGGGTGGACAGAGGTCCCGCGCCCATCCCTGGTGAGCTAGAGAGGGTGTGGACGGAGGAGCCAAGCTGAAATAAGTGCGGGTCCGGGTTTGGAGGAGAAGGGTAGACCCAAAGCAGTTCCCAAGAGGGACAGGGTTTGTGAGGTTCAAAAGTGCTGATGTTCAGAAAGCGCTTTGCAAACCTTTATTCATTATGAGAACTAGCCTGACATAAATAGATAAAGTACTGGTCTCAGAGTCTGGAAGATGTTGGTTCGAATCCCACCCCTGACACCCATTGGCTGTGTGACCCCTGGGCAAATCACTTAACCTCCCAATGCCCCAGACGACTCTCTAAAGCCATAAATTGCAAAGAAAGTGGGACTCGGCTTGGTAGAGGAAGTGCCTGTCCACAGTTCTCTATAAGAAGGAAATCCTAGGTCCAGTCAAAAATTCTTTTCTCCATTGGAAGTCAGAAGTTGGAATGCAAGAGTTACAAGGGGACCTTAAGAAGATAGAAAATAGAATGGTGTTACCAGGAGGAAGCTTGGACTTAGAATCTGGAATGCTGGAGATGGAAAAGGTCCTCGGAGACTATATATAGATAGAATTTTAGATCTAGACCTGGAAGGATCGTGGAGGCCATCTAGTGCCTCCCTCTCCCCAAAAAAACCCACACATTTACAGTGGAAGTTAAAGCCCATGAATGACTTGCCTAAAGTCAGTGTCAGAGCTCTGATTGTGAAGACAGTGCTCTTTCCCGGGCCACCTGTCCAACCCCCTATATTCTACAAATGGGGAAACTGAGGCCTGGACTTGCCTAAAGTTCATCTACCAAGTCAGCAGTGGGATGGTTTAGAACTCAAATCCCCTACTCCTAAACCAAGGCTCTTTTTACAAATTTAAGTTGTAGGGGACTCCAAGTCCCAACTTAAATCCCATCTTCTACAGAGAACGTTCTCCAACCCTCTTAATTCTGGTGCTTTCCCTCTGTTAATTATTTCCTATTTATCTTATATATAACTTGTTTGAACGTATTTGCTTGTTGTCTCCCCATTAGATTGCGAGCTCTTTAAAGACAGGGGCTGTCTTTTGCCTCTTTTTGTATTCCAGTGCATAACACAGTGACTGGCACATAGTAGGTATAATAAATGTCGATTGGCTCACTGTTGACGAGGAAGGAGAGTTTGGACCAGGATTTTACCAGAAGATGAGTTACATAGGGCTTTGGGATTTGGGAGACCTGGATTCTAGTGCTGGCTTTGTCACTGACTCAGTGGCCATGCTCTTTTATCTCTCTGAGCTTCAGTTTCCTTTTTTGTAAAATGGGAATTATGCGTGACCTTTCCTCCCGGGGTTGTTGTGATTTTCAAATGAGAAAAATGTAATGGAAAGTGCTTTCAAGAAAGTAAAAAGCTGTATGGGGAGGAGTTATTGTTTTTCAGGGCAGAAGAGCTTGCATAAATGGAAAGAGTTGTGAATTTAGACTAATCGTTTCAACTGAGCCTCGATTTCCTTCTCTGTAAAATGAGGGCCTTAGATTAGATGTCTCTAAGCTTACTTCCAGCTCTAACATTCCATCTTCTAAGGTCCCTTTAGCTTTGACATAGGAGCATAGTATCACCGATCAGCTTCTAGCTATCTAGTCGAAGCCCCTCATTTACAGAAAAGGAAACTGAGATTTAGAGAATTTAACCATTTTACTCCAGGTCAAACAGGTAGTAAGTGGCAGAAGTAAGATGTGTCTCAGGTCCCTTCCATCTCTTGACATTCCTTGTTCTCTATTCTAAAGTTCCCTCTAACCACACAGGTCTATGATTCTCTGATTATTTCTTGGATTCTCTAAGTTTCTCCATGAAAGGGGAGGTATAGCAGTACTCGATCAGAGAAGATGGTGGGAGATGAAGAAGGGCATCTGTCCAGCAGCCAAATATATTCATGGCTCAGAAAGTCTTCTGTCACATCAGTCCTCAGTATCTTCTGCTATAGAAATATTTAAACATTAGAATCATAGAATGGGAAGGCTAGAAGAGTCAGAAGTGGTCATCCAGTCCAACCATCTCATTTTACAGATGAGGAAATGAGGCTGAGAAAGCTGAGGTGAATTGTCTTAGATTACTCAGGAAGTAAAGAATTCCAACTCAAGTCCTTTGCCCCCAAGTTTAGCAGTCTTCCCACTGTACCCCATTAAGGATAACAGGCACAGCATTCTCCATCTGGGATCATGGAGTCCAGCCCCCCTCTCTAACTCCCAACCCAGGTGGAGTCAAGGGTCTCAACTAAGGGACTCACTTCATTCCCACGGATGGGGGAGGCCTATGTCCCTGAAAAGAGGTTTCTCTGCCCCTTTCCTGGGGAGATAGGGAGTATAAGACACTGGCCACTGAGTGAGCCTGACATAAATTCTAGGACATTGAAACTGGAAGAAATTTGTGAGATAATCTAGACCAATCTCCTCATTTTGTACAGAAGCCCAGAGAGCTGGGGAGAATTGTTTGAGGTCTTGCTTGACCATAAATAGAACAAGGCCTTGAACCCAGAGTCTGATTCTAATCACACTGTTCTTTTTCATTCTACTGCACTTTCTTGGGATCACCTAGTCCAAGGCTTCTCTTTCCCTCCTTGCCATTTTGTAGCTAGGGAAATTGAGGCTTGGAAGTGGAATGACTTTGCCAGAGGGCACATAGAAAGTCACTGAGTCCACCCGGAGCAGCCCATGATCGACACAGGCTCCCTTTGACCTGCTCCTTGGACAACAGCAGGAGCAGCCTCAACTGCCCGGGGCGGATTGCCAGGAACACAGTCCCCAGTTGGCCCTGTGAGAATGCAGGGGAAAGAGAGATCCCAGTCTGGTGGGGGCTGGAGACAGGGGACATACAGGCCTCCCCAAGGGGCCCATGGGCACTCATAGAAGGGAAAGAGATGAGGCAGGGTGGTATCCAGCCATGAGGGGCTGAGAGCAGATTTGGTCTTCAGCCAGAGAAAGGGTGGGGATGTGGCCTCAGTCCAAGGCATGGGCCTCAGGCAAGTTTGGGTAATGGACTTGGAGGAGGAGATCCTATTGACAAAGACCAGCTGCAGTCTCACCCCCAGCAAGACTGGGAGCGGAAGGAGCCAGTGCAGCCCCAGTGAACTGAGATTCTCCAGGCATCTCCAAACCCTTTCAACGTCCCAGATCCCCTAGAGTTTTACTCTGACATGGAGACAGAGGGCTGAACCAGATGACCCCCACCCTCATCAAAGGGCAATCATGATCATAATTCCCACTTCTCTAGTGCTTTAAGGTTGACCAACTACTTTTCTCTCAACAACCCTATGAAGTAGGTGGTGCAAATGGATAGAGTATTGGATTTGGCATCAGGAAGACCTGGGTTCAGATCCCACCTCACTTACTAACTTTGTGAATCTGGGCAAGTCACTTAACCTCTGTTTGCCTCAGTTTCCTCATCTGTAAATGAGGAGCTGCGCTAGGTGGCCTCTAAGATCCCTTGCAACTAAGTAACCTCTGTTTTCCTCAGTTTCCTCATTATTGTAAAGCACTTAGCATGGTACTTGGCACATAGTAAACACTATATAAATGTTAGCTGTTATTATTAGTGAGTTCCCCATCATTGAAGGTCTTTAAGCAGAAGTTACATGTTCACTTTAGGTACATGTTGGACTCATGACTTGTGAAATCTTCCAGTTCTGGCTTTCTGGGACCGTATGCCTCTAAGGTCTCTTCAGCTCTAACATTTTGTATTCTATTCAGTTTTAGTCAACAATTATTTGTGAAGAACCTACCTTATACCAGAACCTGTGCTGGCCCTTGGATGATACTAAAGTAGTCCTTACTGGCTCCAGGGCCTCTCTCCCAACTCGAACTGGCAGATCAGATCTCCAGAGCTTGGCTACCTCCTCATGTTCTGGGGTACCCCTGAGGGCTTGGGGGTATTTTTTCTAATGCTCCGTGCTTGCACCCCCTCCGGTGTGTTCCTCTCAACAATCAATCACCAGTAATTACTGCCCCAGGATCATTTGCCAATGCCTGTTACTATCACGTTTTGTCAATTGATTTATCCTTGATGTCATCAACAAACAATTAACATCAACTAGTTTTTACAAAGAGATATTTACTGAGAAGATACAGCAAGAACAGAAGTATAGAGATATAGGAAACGGGGAACCCACCTTTCTACCACCTTGCTTCCAGGGGAGAGTGGACTCAGATTTAAAGGGGTTGCTAGTTTAGCCAAGGCGGGACTTGCTGCACTGCATGCAGGACATGGTGACTAGCTCCTTTCTGGATCACTAACGGATTGGGTCACGTTAGCCCCACCTTGGAGTCTTGCTGCTTCTTTGCCCGGCTTGGCAGTGATGGCTACGATGTCTCTGCCATGGATTCCCTTCCCTGGAACTCTAGTGATTTTTCTGACCTTTTGAAGCTCACAGGGTCAATATTTCTTCACCTAAGATGAAAAAATAAGATTGATAGAAGAAATAGCCGGGCCCTATGTTCATGGGGTACATAAAGAGGTAAGATAGAGGCCACAGCAGTCACAGAATACCTGTGCGTGGTCGCAGTCAGGCTAGAGTCAAGGAGAACAGTTAAGAATCAATCACCAAATGCAGTGGATAGAGCACCAGCCCTGGAGTCAGGAGGACCCGAGTTCAAATTCAGCCCCAGACACAGAACAATCACTAGCTGTGTGACTCTGGGCAAGTCATTTGACCCCAATTATCTCACACACAAAAAAGAATCAATCAACAAGCATTTACTATGTGCCAAGCACTGTGCTAGGTACTGAGCATACAAAGGAAAAAAATGTAACAGTCCCTCCTCTTAAACTTACATACAAATGGGGAAGCAAATAGCCTACCTAGAAGTAT